ACTCGTTGGAAGGGGAACCGTCTCTGCGCTTCGGGCCTGCTCGGCCCTCGCTTTCCTGTGTCCGTTCGCACTCTGTGCTCGCTCCTCACTTACAACATTCTCATGTTGTTGTCCGTTCGTGGTTACACCACTCACTCCTACTTTTGTTGTTCTTTCGAACAACGTAGCTTCGGGCCTTAACGGCCCTCACTACGTCGCAACCCTGCCGGTGGCTTTCCATAGTCTATACCATCCCTCCGGGGGTTAGGTTAGGATTTGTAGCCTGGTCACGACAGCCTACTCTCTTGGTTGGCCTTCACATTACTGTTACTACTCAAATTGGTAGCCGGGCACTGGGCACACTACACATTCATGTTTTGACTACATCAAAAGAGGTCTAAGAGGAGTCTTCTACTCTGTCATCTACGTATTACGATTGGCAGGCGTTGTCGGCGACCGGCAACTACGATAAACCACTAATGCTCATCACAACTCGGCACTCTCACCACTACTACACCAGAAGTCAGATACTTCTGAAACTCCTCATCATCGTGCAACGCACTCCTTGCACTGTCACAGACCCAAGCGATGGACTCTTGTCGGGGGATATGTTGACCACCAAACCAATCACGAGCGTGTGCATTGTCTCTCAGAGGGGCACCAAAGGCGGATTCAAAGGACTTCTCACAGGAGCAAACCGGACTCTCGGTCGGTCGCTTCCCACAGAATGGACAGTCTTGCCCATCAACTGTCGTAGTAGCAATGCGAAAAGCATCTTCACGTTCCAACGTGGAGGGGTTCCCGCCGCCCAAACCGGCGGTTAGGGGTGTTGGCACCACAAGCTCCAAAGGCTCCGGCTCCTCCTCACCGTCGTCTGCTCCTGTCCCATCGCTCCCGCTATTTGGTGGTCTCCCAGTCGGGTGACTATTGTTGGAGCCCTGCTCCCGTTGACGATTCAACTGCGCTCTTGCTCTCTGTTGACTCAGCCTTCTGCTGAAGTACTCCCTGCGGCACTGCATCCACCGGATTAGCCGTGGTCATGGCCTGACCGTGACGAGTTTCCGACCCTGCCGGAAGCACAAACTCCACCTTGAAGCGCACACGCACATTATTGCGACTGAGCCGGCCCACAGCCGATGTCGATTGCTGTCCACCACCGCCCGACGGTGACGAGGAGGACGTTGACAGTTGTCCCGCACTGCTGCTCCTTTCGACCATGTCGAAGACTTGGTTTGTTGTATCTTGTTCTCACGAACAATGCTTGCTCCCAGCAAACTCAAAATGATCCCCAGCGCCCGCGGCTGTTGAAACGGACGGATGAGACCAACGTCGTCGTACTGCCTCCAGCAGTCGAAGGGTTCCAAGAATGTCGTCTTTTTTTCCTCCCGTCAAAATCGTTTTTTACAACGCTGTGGAACAGCCAAATTGTTGCATCACCCCAAGTGATGAAAAGATGAAAGGGAAGAAAGTTCTCTCGAACCATTTTCCAGGTGGGCGAAGGCTCCCTTCTTATAGTTTTTCAACAGCGTGTGCCCCACACGAGCTTGTTGCTGTTCACAACGCAACCGCATTGGTGTTCATGCAAGATGCTCTGCATGAAATCCGCCCCCGTCGCTCAACTCCTATTGGGCGTTATGACAAGCCATGGTCGCTCCTCTCCCATTGGCTCTATGACTGTCGCTGACGCTCCATAGTGACGCTGGTCGCCACCCCACGACCTGGTGGTCCGTGGTACGGTGGTTCCCCTTATAACCAAACATA